CAAACGCTCACGTCCTTTTTTTAAGGCCCTTGTCAGCCAATGTTTTTAAAAGGATATGCAGACGGACCCATTCGATAAATTTTCACGACAAAAGGCTTATAAAGGGTGCTCTCTACTGTAAATTTTTAGTATCAATGTCAAATTTCCACGAACCGTGAGTAATCGCCCAAAGTATAACGTTCAAAGGAAAGTAAAAACGAATTAAGTTTACTTACACGGGAAAACCCTTCCTCCTACGTCAATGTCAACATTGAAAGATCACTTTTTCTGTTTTTGGCCAGAGCAGAGCAGTGCAATAAGATACTCACAATTCAAAACATAACACTAGCGTTAAAGATTGTTTCTGGACCTTTTATTTGGGAAAAATTGCACATATATAAGGCCAACGTAGAACTAATGTTTGTCCGTCGCAAGGAAATGCGCCCAGTTTTCACTCGGGTTCCCTACGACATCTACAACGTCTGGGAAATTTAGAATTTACAACTGACGCTTGAAATATCGGTAACTGAAAGGCCATAAGGCGGAATAACGAAAGAGCGGAATAAACACTTTCTAAGTGGCCGCTCCCATAAGCACTGGACAGACGTATGCAGGATTAAAAAAAGTGGGGATAAATGGCTGCAAAGTGAAAATTGCTCGGCTGTCCACTATTTTCAGGGCTGATATGAACACGTTTTAATCACGTTCTGCAACGGTGTCAGTTTAATTTTAGGAGTCTCCCTCCAAGATACAAAGGCCTCCGATTGATTATAGATTATGAAAAGGAAAAGGGGGGTTCCCCTTACTGATGAGCAAAAGTTTCAAACTTAAATTTGTCTCTGCCAAGATGTACCGTGTCTCATCAACTAGCTAATTTCTTGAAAAATATAGTTTTAAAATGATAGCAATAATAAAGAAAGAATTGAAGAGTCATAGGTGGCCATAATAATGGTACCATACCATACAGAATCATTATACGTGTTTTGCTGCTTTTTTTTTTTTTGTTTTTTTTTCAAGAGAGATCAATTCGGGGAAACCCCCTCGTAATAAGGAAATTGTGACTTGCGAGGGGTTTCCCTAACTTTCCCTTTATAAAAGCCGCACACACACGGAGGACTTCAGTCTCGATAAGCCGTCGGTGATTTTGCACAAGGACTCGGTAATACAAGTTTTCACGCTGCAGCATAACACAACCGGTAAGTTACATTTCTGGGTGGCACAGATTCAATCCAGTAAGAGAAATTGCTCTCCAGCCTAATTTGATGAAATTTGCAAATTTAAACTTTACATGCACTCTGTGAAGTTAGCAATAACCTCAAACTTGACATCAAATTGTTGTCCCCTTAAATACACTACTTTTGATTACAAGTTTCAGAAATACAGGTTTGATTTCGTATTCCTCTTTTTTTTCTCTGACTGTCTCAACATCTTGCACGGGCAGTTTCAGTTCTTGACATGAAAGACAAAAAAATGGCACGCGCGGGAACTACTTAACGCTGGCACTCGAACTTTGCTATTCTCGAGAAATTCGCTGGCGTTTGAATGCAAAATACGGTTTAAAACAGCAAACACACAACTGATTCGGATTGAACGCGAACTTTGAAATTCCGTTTCTCGCCGATTAAGTGGATCTCACCATCAAAAACTTATATTAGACGAAAGTCATTAAATATTCGGTACTATCTGTTTATAAAATGCAAATCTAACAGCAGGCCAAGCAGGTGATAATGACATAGTGCAACAGAGGTGGATTGTCACATAATACTGCCTGATAAAAAAAAAAAAACCCGTGTCCCAGAGTCGAATCGAAAAGTTTTGGTTATATTTACAGGTGAAACAGGCTTGATATTTATATTCTGAATCCCCTTTTGAACTCAAATTGTGCGAAGAAGTTTAGGTACTGCTCGTGTTCTGCAAAACCCCTCCGGTGATCTGAGTATTACGGCTGAGAAAATCATTACAGAAATGACTGTTTTCATTTTTCAGCTAAACTGATATGAAGAGGTTAAATTTGCAATTTATTCCCTAGATATCCATCGATTATGCCTGGTTACTCAAAATTTTCTATTTGCGAAAATGGCAAGTATTTTGATCCCAAATACCTCTGCCCCAAATGTGAGAAG